TTTATGACATCTCTTCCAAGAAGCCCTTTCTTCTTCCCTAAAGTGAGGAATGTGGAGCATCATGTGAAGTTCTACTTTAGCATCGGTTTGACAAATCAGGAAATCTTTTAGCAGCAGCATCAAACTGGGCAGGATGTCAAAGTGGACTCTGGTTGCTGATTGGTGGAGCTGGTCGGCCGTCAGTAGGTGGGCGGAGCTCCAAGCTTTCTTTCTGAAACGGGTTGTTGAATGATGACTTAATTCTTGTAATTTTATGACTTTATTCTCGAAATAAAAAAACAAAAAGATTCTCTAGCCTGGCCCTAATACTCTGTCGTATTTCAGAAAACAATGACATTTTATGACTTTATTCTTGTGGTATTACGACTTTATTCCCGTAATTTTACAACTTTATTCTAAAAAAAAAAAAAACAAAATCTCTAGCCTGGCTCTAATATTCTGTCTTACATTTATTTAGAAAATAATAGTAAATTCCTTTATTGTCCCACAGGGGAAATTTAGTTGTAAGAGCAACAAAGCGACAGGCAATCTAAAAGGGTATAGACATTAAAAGGTTTATGTGAAAAAAAACAGAATAAATGAAAAAAAAAGGTTAAAATAGAAGTACAAATACTGTACAATTATAGCAGAAAGATGTTAAGAGTAAAAGAAGCTTAAATAATCCGTAAACTAAGTATAGAAAAATCAGCAACAGTATAAAGGGTCGGTCAGAAAAGCCCAGGTCTGTTTCCAGCCCATCTCTGTGTGTCCTCAGCCATCCGCTCAGGCCGGGCCGACCTGGTGAAGCTGCTGCTCCTCCGCGGCTCCAGTGTGCACCAGGCGGGCTGCCACGGTCGCCGCCCCCTCCACGAGGCGGCGCGGGTGGGCAACGTGGAGCTGGTGAAACTTCTGCTGGAGGCCGGGGCACGGCCGGACCCACGCAGCAACTACGGCTTCACGCCGCTGGCCCTGGCTGCTCAGGGAGGACACCTGGAGGTGGCAGAGATCCTCCTGAGGAAAGGTGAGGTGCTGTCATTAGATTGTAGGCAGTGATGGGACGAGACTAAATGTACCAGGGGAGCCAGGGTGGGGTCTGCCTCATTCATAGGGGCAAAGGGCAAAATAATAACACACATGAAACTAGGGAGAATGCATTGTTCAGCATATGAAGTATAATAATTGAACCACAAAGCCAAGGTTGCATACTTCAGATCTGTTCATGAATTCAAGTTATCCTGCTTACAGACAGACACACAAAAACTCGCCAAAAAACAACCTCCTTGGCGGAAGGTAATCAGTGCATTTGGCCTTAATTTGAACAGGTAGACAAGATGATCTGCCAAATAAATGAGTATTTTATGGAAGAAAAACTGTCTCATTGGAATCTGCATTTTTTTAACATCGAATGAAATTTTTTTACACACTGAATTCCTTACGCTGAAGTTTTATCTGGTGAAAATTCAGCTGCAAAAAATGTGCCTGTAAATGTGTTGACCTTTTGGTGAACTCCAGCCTAATCGATCTAAACTTGATGCAGTCCAGCAGCTTCTAGCCAATCAAATTAGTTCATTCGCAGCCCCTGTAGATCATGTCCTGGCCCCTGTACTGAAGACATAATACTAAAAGAAATTCTAATGATGATCTGCGCTGAAACAGACATTGTTACTGATGGGTCATTTGGATCTATTTCATTTTACTAAATATTTAAAAACAATAAGGTGATACAGGGGTTGATGTTAAGGATTTTACCCTTCAGGCAAGTGACCTTCACATTTCATTTGCCCAGAAACAATTTTTACTTGCCCAGTATAATGTTTGATAAATATAGTTCCTA